AGGGAAAAAGGAACCAATATAAATAGCTTTTTTAAATGGGAAATAAATAATACCTTTCGAAAAGGGCCATGTTATCGTTATCAAATAGTTGGTTTAATCTGCCTGAAATCGCCAAAGCTAAGAAAATTAATGCATTTTTGCAAATTTTTTACTGCCTCTTGATTTCTGCCAAGCCATTTAGTGGCCTGAAGAAATATCCCCAACTACCCACTCAGAAAAATATGTTCACATCAGTCTGATTTCCACGCCGTGTCCATGACAATTGCCCAGTCAAAATGGGGCGTTACTAGCCATGTTGTGCCGCGGCTGCAACTGGGCATTGACCATGGCCCAGACGGGACGCTGCTGCTGGAAATGATGATGACGATGATGGATACTCGATACTCCTTGATACCCAGCCCGAACACGAGCAGAACAAAAGCTACAGCGATGCCCTTGAGTGATCTATGCAAAGCAAAAGGCGGTGCTCAGGACCCGAGATCGGAGGATTGATGGTGATCGTGGTTGTGCGGTTGGTTACAGCCAAATGAAAGGTAGCCGTTGCCAGTAGCTCGCTGGTAGCCGACTAGTCATCAAAACTGGGAAATTAGCATAGACAGTTTCCAAGCCAGCCATGGCCAAAGTGCGTAGAAAATCATAAAAATGGCTACTGGAGTGGCCAACGAGCGCCTGGCCAAAAGCACGATGCAGTGGATATCCACACAGAAAAAATTAGGGATGATTGAAAAACTATCAAAGAAATTGTATAATAATTAGTAATAATTGCATCAAAAATCGTTTACTTATTAAAGAAGGATGTTCAAAATACTTTAGCGCTGCAAAGGCTTAAAAGAAATAAACTGAATTTTAAATATCTTACAAATAAGCAAATCATATATCCCTATCGGTACTGTGCCCCATTAATAATAGCCCTCATTTTTCGCTGTGCAGATGACTCGGCCTCAAAGCCAGCGGCATTAATTTCATACAATTAATGGAAATTATATGAAATTATGAGTGGAACATTGAAATTCCTTGTGAACATCGCCAGGGACGACAACAATCCAGATGAAACTCACTGTCCGCCTTCAAACGGAAAACTTCTAGCACCACTAACTTGGGTGGCAATTTCCATTTAGACACAGCCAGGCCAAATGAAAGAAAATTAAATTTTTCACTGTCTTCTTAATTGAAACATTAGCCAAACATTTTAGCTGTGCCCACTCCGCCCAAAAGACGACTCCACTCCTCTGTTCATTTACATTCAAATTAACTCGTAATGAAAACGAGTCGAGAAACTTTGACTTTCACTTTGTCTGGTTGTTTTCCGTTGGGGGAGTTGTGGCATTTAATTAGTTGTTCTGATTGTAGCTGCTCCGTCGTCCTGTCGCTTTTCCCCTGTTTATTACCATTTGCTGGCCATTTCTTCTCGGCTTAGCCAGTTGAATTATCCACGCCCTCGGTTCGCTGTTTGTTTTGACACTCGTTTGATGTTCATTTGCTGCAGTTTAATGACAGTTGGCAGTTGCCTATGCGATTGAATGGACAATCAAAACCTCGGGGTGGAAAGCACTGACCTTTCGGAAAGCCGTCAAATGGAAAACAGTGTCGTCATTGCTGTCACTTTTAATAGTTTCGATTTTCAAGGGTGAAATCATGCGATTTCTTTTCTTACAAACAAGTAAAATGAATAGATAATTCCATTGAAAGATTCACAAATAACACAAGTTAATTAATTTTACACAATATTAAACACTGGTGAAATTTCAGGGTTGTCATTGATACAGCTCTGCGTTGCACTTGCCACAACCCGTTCCCACCCACTCCCAAAAAAGGGACCACACCTTTCATGCCCTCCGAATTTTCCATCAATTTCTCCGGGCGTAATGTTGCCGTGGCAAAAAGAAAACAAGAAAACAGCAACACGTGCCCCTTTTAATTAAAATAAATAAATAGGCGCAAACACATAAATAAACAGAAGTACCAACCATTGGATAACTACAATGCCAAATAGATGATGGCTCTCGGTTACTCTGTCAAAAATATTCCGGTGGGCCTGGTATTCAATTTCATGCATTTGCTGGGAAGCTGGGAAGAGCGGGTTGTGCCCCAGGGGCAAAAAGTTGGGGGAGGGGCGAGTTCTACCCCCCACTTATATAAGAACTCACGATATGGGGGCGCCTTGAGCTGTGTTATGGCTTTTTTGTTGTACTCTGTATTCTTTGTGGAACGTGCGCATTCGAATTTGAGGCGAATTATTATTTAGTCGCGGCGAGACGCAAAACGTTTCTGGGAATAAAACATTTCCAACAACTTAATTTTTGTATGCCGCAATTTGCATGTGGAATAAATCAAATGTAAAACGCATAAAGAGCCAGGAACACCCCCAAAACAGCACAGACATGAGTTATGGGCTGTGGGTTAAGGTGGGCATGGTGGGCCATGGTGGGTTAAGGTGCTTTAAGGTGGGTGGAACAGTAGCCTTTGTCTGGCCAGGATTATGACCATTTATTTGCCTGCAAAAACGGTCCGTCCTGCAAATGGTAAATACTCCTGCGGTGGGGCGAAAGTTTTGGCCTAAGGCGCTTTTCCTCGGTACAAGAAATCCAAATCAATGAAGATTTCGGCGCACAATGGAGCGGTATTACAAAGAGTGTCCTGCACCCGTTTGGTTTCCACTTTCAGAGACTTTCTGGTCCCGAGTCCTTGGCTTCCTGAACTTTGCTGGATTATGCATCGCTTAGCTGGCGCAGAACTTTTCAGGCAACCCGAATTATTTATTACTAATTGAGGAGCGGCATGACTTTTGCTTTGGCACTAATTCGATTACTTTTGGGCAAACATTTTGCACAGAGTTCAATTTGTCAAAGTTAATTAAGCCGAGTTAAGAACTTTATTGCGCATTTCCTGCGCTCAACAAATGAAAACCAATCAAATTTAATGCGAACTGCCAAGATGGCAAACTGAGCTAAATGGCCAACGGAAAACATATCTGCTCCGGCCATTGGCCAACTCGTAATAATAACTTATGTTATGGCAGCGCCAGAAGATCTGCAAGCGATATATGTGCGATCCAGCGCACCGACTTGCACGCAATACCCTAACTTTAGATAACCCAGCTGGAAAGAGCTGAGCAGCATCTCAGTTCTTCACAATGCCTTAGACTTTACACCCAAGTTTGGGGTTGATAACCTGCCTTTTTTATAACACACACATATCCGGTCTTTTTAATTTATTCATGCACTTCAGGGTATTCATTCTTCACTTTGCGGCCAGCCTGCTGCCCAATACTTTTCATATAAATGCACAAGTTTTTGATTGATTCAATCAAAACGAGCAAAACGCAAACGGCGATCGAGAAGTGCTCTTGAGCCAAAAGCATCAGGTTCTCTGCATGCCTGTCACGTAATTTATTGATTTAGCTCTTGGGAATTCGAGGGACTGTTCGTGGATCGTGAAAAATGAAATGTTTGCCACTGCCAGCAGCAAGCAGCACTGGTATCAAAAATCAGGAGGGAATACAATATAAAATATATAGTATAGAGTATAAAGATATAAGCATATAGAAACCAGAAACTAGTTATTTGGTTGATTGAAAATAAGCACAAGCTAACAACTTTCCCATCTGTTGTCGAGTACAATTTGGCATTGTTAATTTTGAATTATTTACTGTTTCACTTTATTGGTGCGTAATTTCTCTGCGTGCACTTGAGCAGACTGCGCAAACTGGCATGATGGCTGACCGAACTGGACTGGCTGATTGGTTGTCGATCGATTTGGCTGCCGGCCAGACAAATTCAAATGCATTGGCCCCGATCTGTGAATGCAACTGCGGCAGAGGGGATTGAAGGCAGGGGGGGATCAGAGGCACTTACGCATGTACGCCTTAAACGATACACAAGACTTGATCAGCGGCGGCGGCCACAGCGATCATCGATCAACAGACCATCCTATACCATACCATCCTGAGTCCCAGAGATAATGGCCGGCTTGCCATTTTGCATTTTTGCATTTGTAATGAAACTGAAAACCAGAATGAATCGTAATTTGCTCGAAATCGAGCTGAAGCTGAAGCAGGAGTCCAGTCCAAGTCCCAGTTTCGCGCCAAGAAATGAGATCAGCAGCGAGCCGGACTGAAATTGCACGCCAGGATGCTCCAAGTGGGATAAGGTTGGGATGACGACGAGGTGGGAAGAGCTCGATGTGCATAATCTGGGCTGGGAGGCACAGTGGGTCGCCGGTTGCACAAAGCCCACTAGCAAACTGTTGAAATGTATCTCTTGTGTCACTTTTGCAATGTATCTCTTGAGGGGTTTCCATTTTTTCCAATCATTTTCTTTCAATTTATAAATTGCGCAATAAATTGTGAAGTGATTTATAAACTTTTCCGATATCCAGCGCATTTTTCCACTATTCCAAGCCCACTTCCTAAGCGTTTCGCAGATCGCTACCAATCTTGGCTTCTTCATCCGTGTCCTGCGATTCGCATGTAAAATCGCAACTGTTATCAGAACCGCTCTTTTGGATTCACGTCGCTGCCTTTGCGTACAGATCATCTCCGCCAACTTAAAAAAAAATCAAAAAAAAAAAAAACCCACCGAAGGCAGCGCAAATGGCAATTTAAGTCATTTTGTTGCCGCTTTTTTGAGTGCGATTTTTTTGATTCTTGTTGCAAGGCGATTCAAAATGGTTTAATATTATGCACAAATCGGGCGAGTTGCGTAGTAAATTATGGGCCATTAAGCGAGCAGGTAGTTGATGGAAAAGCGGGCGGGATGCGAGGGGTTTACCTGGCCGGCCCCGGGTGAGCAAATTTGTGTAAAATGGCAGCCGGCCTTTGGGTGTAAAATGGGGGGCGGCGTCTGCGGCTGGAAGGAAAAACGCAGCAGCAGCAGCAGCACTTCCAGGGAAATGCGTGCTACCTGCAGGAAAACCAGACGCAAAGTATCTGCAGATACTGCCCGGGAGCAGCTGCTGGATCGTAAGCACTAATTTTAAAATCCTCTGCTCCTGCCCTACAGCGATCAGTCTGCTCGGAGTGCCAGCCGCAGGATGTGGTGGCCACTACTATTGCCGTTGCTAGTTGCGCCCTCGTGGCAGGAGAACGCCACAGTGCCCAATCCCAGCTATGTGACCAAAGCGGGTTGCGAGGCGCTGGTCCAGGAACCGAGTCTCTGCGAGTGCCAGGAGCAGGAGATCAAGTGCGAGAACCTTCAGCTGCACAGTGACAATGTACAGTTGTACGGCATCAGCTGCAGCATATTCGATGCCAGGGGATTTGGCCACATACCGCCACTTAAGGTGGGCAATATCGGTGCGCTGATCGTTCAGAACTGCGCCATACCAAATGCACAGAGCATCAAGTACCTGCTCAGCAAACTGGGTGTTAGCAAGTACAGCGAACTGGAGATCTTCAACTACTTCGATCCCAAGAAAACGGATCGCGGCGAGGTGCTGCAGCAACATTACACGGACCACGAGGGTCTCAGGAAGGTCTCCATCATTGGATTCAAGTCGGCGCTGCCCGAAAACTTCTTGGAGCACCTGCCCGCACTGGAGCAGCTGTCCTTGAAGGGCAGCAGTGACTTGCCCGGCAACATTTTGCATCCCTTGAAGAACCTGACCCATCTGGAAATTGTGGTCAAGAATTTGGCCAAAGTGTCGGGTGCCATATTCGCAAAGCAGTCCAGGCTCAAGCATCTGATGATCGACTGCGATGCCAAGAACAGCAGTGTCGAAATGTCCGCCTTTGGACCTCAGGAACTGTGGCACATGACCGAGCTTCAGTCGATCGAGCTCTTCAACTGCGGTGACAATGTGCCCACCGAGTTGTTCTGGATGTCGGAGCAACTGGCGTACATTGGCATAAGGAGCAACATCAGCTATCTGAGCAAGGACTTCCTCAAGGTGCAAAAGAAGCTGCTTACCCTGCGACTGGAAAGGAACAACATAGCCAGGCTGCCCGATCAGCTGTTCAGGAACACTCCTTTGATTCTGGAGATTCACCTGGCATTCAATAACTTGGATCGCATTCAGAGGTGAGTTAAGACCAAAGCAAACAGCAAACTATGACCTTTCGGTAATCCATAAAACCCTTTCCAGCGGCCTCTTTGACAAGCTGAAGAACCTGCAGGTGCTGAACCTGGAGCACAATCCCATAACCACCATTGCCCTGAACGCCTTCACGCCCATACCAACTGCCCATATCTACGTGGGCAAACTCTTCAAGGCGGCCAAGAATAACGCGGACTGGGCCCGATCCACGAATGCGACTATCTGCGAGGAGGAGTACATCTACGGGGTGTGCATCTACTGCAAGCGGGACGAGTATCTGGACCACTTTGCCGACGCGGAGAACTGCAACAAGCCCAATCCGAAGGCGAAGGATGTGCTGGCCAAGAAGGCCTACGAGAATCAGCTGAAGGCGATGCCCACGCACTCCTGGAAAAAGGCCAAGGAATGTGAGTAAACTTTCCCCCATTTCCGTGCGTTTTCGCCAATAATTTATATTAAACTTGACGTGCGACTGAACTTCCAAGTCGGACAGACATGGCCAAATTGAAAACGAAATAAAAAGCAGATACAAACAATATTAATATTTGTAGCTCGCTTTCAATGAAACTCGGAGGTTGCTGCGAAGTCAACAGAACGTTTTTATATATAAATCATAAAGAAAAACAATTTATCTTTTGATTTGTAGCCGAGGGGTGGCTTGCCACCCAAATGAACGAAAACTTTTCCAGGCAGCAACATGTCAAATGTAATAAGGCCTAATGTTGTCTGCCCTTCATTTTTCGAGGGCTGGAATGGCTTGTAAGTGAAAGTCGGAGGAGGAAAATCAAGTGAAATATGCGGGTTGCGGGGGAAAGCGAAATTTCAGATTTCAGATTGCTATCATTCATGTTGCAGTAACCCACAGAAGCAACAGGGATACGAGCCAGAAACTCAGTGTTATGCAAATAATATCTGTCATTTCTTGCTGTTGATCTAACAAGTTACTTTCCATAGGGGAGTCAGGAACTCATAAATGTCAGGGATATCACATGTTGAGCTCTGTGGGAGTTGATTGAACAGCAATCAAATGTAAATTGCCATAAGTGGAGAAAGCAGTCCTGTGGGGTGGCGCCAGGACCTCTAAGCGTTCCAAATGGGCGCTTAAAATAATTCAATCCAACGAGATTGGATAGAAGCTGTATGACATGATAATGTGGCATACTTTTGAATAAATGCGACTGCTGATTTTGAGTACAGCAACACTTTTTCAAGGGAAGTGCATTAAACTCTGCATATTTGGTGTAGTAAGAGTTGTAGTACTATCTTATCAGTTGTCACCCAGTTTAAAAACCTAATGGGTGGCATTTTAGAATCCGCTGCTCCTACTACGTTTCTTCTTAGTTTTCGCTGCGCTTTAATGCAGCCCATAACTCAGTCAGTCGTCGGCCGGCTTCTAATCTCAATTTGCTGTTTGAGTTGCCACTAATAAAGCGCACGACGAACTGACACCACTGGAGTCGCACCACCAACCACTTGGGACGCCACCGAAGCTCCAACATCCACATGCATTTGTGCTGCCGTCGATACACGGATTGGATTGGAGACTCCATCTCCTCATGGCTTTCTGTGTTTCCGATGGACATGAGTGACACTGACACACAAAGGGTCCGAAATCGAGGACGACTGACTTTTCAGAGATGGCAGTTTGCAGGAAACAGATTCATAGTGCCACCTGTTATTGCTAAATTCAAGCAATAGGCACATTAAATTAGGCATACATGAAATGAACACATAATTTAGGAATTTAATTTCAACTCCAGTTGATCTCTAGAGCTGACTGCTGCAGTGAGGCCCCCGAAAGCCTTTGAAAGTGCCATCTTTTGAGTACTCCGCTCCAGCGGAGACACACGACCCAAAACATGGCTCACACGCAGTGGCGCCGCAAAGGGGTATCTTTTAGGCTATCACTTTGCTGTGTTAGTTGGCAACCCCCTACGCCCCTGTCCCCAACTGACCAGCGACAACAACTGGCCAGCCACTTGGCCCCGGATTGCGACTGGCTCTCCACAAATGCAGCTTTTGTACTACTCGTATCTGGCGGATACATTTCAAAGCAATGCCAACTGGACTGCGTTTATCGCCTGGTAGCCGGACAAGGCCCAGACCCAGACCCAGGCTCCAAAGCGACCAAGGGGCCAGAAAACAAACAGGGAAAAAAGAGTGAGGGCCCATGCGAAATTTATGGCCATCAACGTGCAGTTTGAAGCGGTATCCCGAAAACCTGGCCTCCAATCCGCGCAGGCGACTAGCTTCAGTGGCTGGGTTGGCATTTGTAATGCCTAAATGCTTTGGCGAATTGATTTTTGGTGTAAACGATGTGCAATTTTAATGGATTGTGCTGCCAGATAAGCCAAAGGAGCAGAGGAGCAGAGGAGCAGTGCCCCTAAAGAGCGGCGGAGTGGGGAATGCTCCACATGCTCCCCAACTCTGGGGAGCCTGCGATGCCAGTCGTGGCTGGTCGTGTGTCGTTTAATTGAATTTGTTTTGATTAGTTGCTCGATGTGTGGCGGGCATTTTGCAAATGCAGCTTAAAGTGGAGTTTGAAACTCACAAGGGCAAAAGGAGAGGAGCCAAAAAAAGGAAACCTTTGGCCTTCGAGGCATCCAGCTAAATTGACATTGTTCATAGTCATAACATGACGGAAAAATGTCAATTTAAATATTTGCAAATATTTTAACAAGGCATGTGCTTGGGGCAGCAGCGCTAATTTCGCATGTGCGAAATAAAAATTGTGCACATTTTTTGCGCCAAAAAACCGAAAGAGAACCCAAAAAAGGTGCAACAACTTTTTAATTAATTAAGGGAATGATAACGAAAGCGCCGGGGGAAGGAAAATATTATGCAAAAATTGCGAGCCAAGAATGCGAACAATTTTCGGTTTGAAAAAGGTTAAAACCTGGTTTTACAAGCTGTGAGCGTTTTTAAAAATGCTGTTGGCCATTTTCAAGCATGACAACATCGCTTTTTAATCTATATATAATATGACATCGCAAGATGTCAGCAGTTCCAATAATAAATGGTTATAGGAAAGCAACTATTTAAAAACCGAAATATTTACGAGCACCATAATTGAAGAATTGTTTCCCGTGCCTTCAGTTTGCCTTTTTGATTTAAAATTTCCCAAACTGAGGCAAATCACATTCCCAACTCCACTCACAAGTCAATTAGACAGTGAGAAGCCAAACACTGAATGCCACACAGCCCCCAGGGGTTAAGTTCGCAATCTCCATTTGAATGACAGGCGGCAGTGCAGTTAACTTGTTGATTTTGCCACAAAAAGGGGCAGCATTTCGTAGTGGAAGGGTTAAGTCTCAGCCGGAAATCTGCTGCAGCATATCAATTGTTTATGCGTAAAAGTCAATTTGTGCTGCGAAATTCGAGTCGTTGGCAATTTGTGTTTCTGGATTCCCTCTGCAGGCCCTGCGTTTCCATTAGAATAAGATTGACAGCCAAGCTGGGGTGTGCAGCTGGGATTGGGTATCCTGGCATCCGTGTATCCTGCACTTGCACTTGCACTTGCACTGGCCGATAAGGTTATGCACTTGGCTTGTGGTTTTACCGAGCCTAATTGAATTTAATTGATTCGGTTTTGGACTTTTGTGGGGGCCATCTGGGGTGGCTTTCAATCGGGAATGAATGTGGCGGCATGGGGAATGCATTTTAAAGTTGGGCGGCTAGATGTTGTGAATGTTGCATGACTTCCAGAGGCGCGCAGTTGGTAGCAGTGAAAAATTGCAGCTGTCAGCGTTGGCCAGAAAAATGATTTTTTGATTTTGTTTCTGGGTTTGGGGAGCTCGTGGGGTTGCATAAATCATAAAACGCTTTACATATTCCGTACATATTGTATGCCAGCCCATACTGCCCGCACGTATGCAATTAAACTTAATATAAATGTCTGGTAATTATTGTGTCTGCGTTGCATGAACTGCAGTCTCTGCCCATAGCTTATAATTGACTCAACGAGCTTACCAAAAACGTATCTCATTTAACCATCTTGCACTTGCAGATCCCGAGAAGGAAGAGCAGCCCTAAGTTCGCATCAGTACCAACTAGCATTTGGATTATAGCTCATTCCCACAACCATAATGAGATTAAAATAGGCTCACGATGTTTATCTTAATATTAATCTGCTAAGTAGCTCTGGCATTTAACACGATTTTAATCTGCAGCTTAGGAGTTTTCTGCACTGAAGTAACAAATGACATGTTTAATTTCAAATACTTTGTAACTTAATGTTTGCCGACTGCAAGCTTTGAAATGCTTCTAAGCTGTATCAATAAACCTACGAAATAAAGACCCTTTAGAACCCGAATTTATGCAGGCGTATTTCAGTGTATCTGCCCAAAACCCCCCAACACCTGAAATTATGGCTATTAGCCCCGAAGAAAGGCAAGCGACACAATGGCATTCCATTTGCCAAGGGACGATGACAGGAGTATGGAACTAATATTTGCCAAAATGCCAAAACAAAACGACTGGCATAAAAATCACAATAAAACAAAACAGAGCAGGAACAACAGGATCCTGCGACCCGAAGGATGTGTACTATGGTACACATGTACGTCCTGCCAATGGGTGGGGGGGGGGATGGCTAGGGTATAATGGTTAGTCGGGAGAGTCCTGAAAGCTTTCTCCAGTCTCGCGCCTTTTGTGTGCGCTGTGTGTTTACATGGTGATTTTTTGCTCGCACGCGATATCCTTTTTGCCGCCCAGGATGTTTACCACCCCGCCGGATTCGATTTCCCTCAGTGTTTGCTCCTTTCGGGCTGTCTGCCATAAATGCGCACTATGAAATGGCTGGCAAACATTCAACTATTGTTTGCATTAGTTGCTCTTTTCAGCTTTTCGGTTTGCCCAAATGCCGCGCATAATTGTTGCCGCCGCATTGTTGCCTCCGTCAAACAATGGCGAAACACCGTGCAACACCGGCAACAATGGCCACATTTGTCCTGAGTTATTTATTTGAGTGCATGGCCAACTTGCCAAAGCACCGCACTTAATTACAGGCATAGTAAAACTACAGCACGCAGAACAGCAACTTCTAGTCTAGATATCAATCACTCATTACCAAATATTAAAGCATTTCCTTTGAGCTTAAAACATTTAAATGAGTTAATGAACTTTGATACATGTTTCATTATGCGTAAATAAACTAGCCTCATTTGCATGCTACTAATCATTTTGTTATATTAAACTGATGCCACGCACATTAGCGCATTTTGCCTAAAATTTACTATGCATTTATTATGCTTCTTGGAGTTCCGAGTGCACCTGAGGTGGAGTTGCAGTTGCAGGAGGTGTCCTCGTTCCTTGTTGGTGTCATGTCTTCATTGCTGGATGCAAACAGCCACGGCAAACAACGAAACAACCAAACAGAAACAACCAAACAAGGGCAGCTGTAAATTTATGCACGCACATGCAGCTGGCTGCATTTTTTGCGACTGCCCACTGTTGCATGTTGCCGCCTTTTTGGGGCGTTTTCCGCACTGTTGCGAATGTTGCAGGCGCAGGTGCAACTGCAGCACGTGGCAAGTGCAACAATGATGTCAAGCAAAATGTGCAGTTGCAGAGTCTAAAATCTAAAGTGGACGGACAGCAAACAGAATGTGCTGTCGTGCTGAAAAACTCAGGCTCAGGAATCCAATGGCTGTGTTTGCACAGATAAATTGTTAGACAGAAAATGAATGCAGGACACATTGAAGCAGCCAATTTGTTGGCTAATTGAATCAGCAAGGCAGTGAAATATGAATTAAATTGTATTAATACTTTTGGGTAATAACGCCCCAAGTGAAATATTTCCGCATTACCGCGATCGCCTAATGTTGACTTCGCCCCAAACCGGCGAAACACTTAGCCAGCTTAATAAACAGCCCAAAGGACAAATGGCCAGGCGTAGAACAACGGCAAAAACACATGAATAATGCAGGCTATTTACGGGCGGGACCACGCCCACTGCCCACTGGCCGCCAAATCGACGAACGCCTAAGCAACGAAATTAGCGCAAACAACAATTAAAAATGCTTGAATGCATTTAATTATTTTGTTGATTGTTTGTGCAAATATGTATGGTCAAATCAGAAAAACTAATCGAAAATGCAGTGGGAAAATACATTTTGCGCAAATTAATTAAAATTATCGAGGCGAGCGGACAAATCAGCACATACACAACAAAAAAAAGCACACATTGAAATAACAAATGGCAGCGCCAAAGCAACTAATTAATGAGTTGATTAATAAACAATTAGACGTCGGCGCAGACCAATAGTTGCCAAATCGCTGCCAATTTATGAGCTGGTAATTGACGCCCCCCACACACACACACACACACGGGAAATCGGGCCCATAACTCAGCACTTGGCCAAGTGGCGACTGTTGTAAATCAAGTGGGCCCGAGCCATTGAGCCAACTTGCTTGCCTTATTTTATTTTCCCTTTTTCCCCACTTTTTTGGCATGCAAACTTGGCCCAGCTGCAGCTGAGTGAAAAGTGTGGCTGGCGGGGGCGCGCCTCCCGCCCACTTCGCAGATCCCCCGACTAGATAGCCGAAAATATTTTTTGCTGTTAGCCTGCTCCAACGGCGGGGCAACCATAGTGCTAGGCCCAAGTGGGTGGAGCAGCTGGCATCCCGGTGGCAGCCACTGCACTTGGCTTCTGCAGTTGCAAATTTCTTACTCCAGCTCACTGTGCGCCTGTGTAGCCCGGCCACGCCCCGTCTTTTTCGTTTTTTGTTTCTGCTTTTTGCTTCTTGGCCCGCGGTTCTTTTTGGGGCACTCACACACACACGCGTACAGGGAAACTGGCTAACTGATTGTGCAGATAAGTGGCCCACGACCTGACTATGCCTCTGGTTGGGCATTACAATAGCCCATTGCTGCGCAAATATGTTAATTGCAGCAGCGCCAAACGGAAGCCCAAAATGTTTGGGGCTTTCCTAGTTTCTGGGCGGTGTGTCTGATTGTCAGGGTTCAAATGGCAATTGAAATAAACGTTAATTGCTTCATTAACACGCAAATTACCATACAAATGAAGGCGCTATCAGCACCAAAAACTAAAGTTTTGCATGTGCAGAATAGAGCCTAGTTTATTTTAAAAACTTGAGAAACAATGCGATTTGCCCAAGGCATCCAGAAATGGCTGCAAATTGAAATTAATTTAAGGACTGAGCAAAGCGTTAATTGAACAACATTAGGGCCAACATTTGATTGCTTAATTTACATGAAAATCAACTAAACCAGACCCCGGGCTGGGTGGGAAATCACAGGGCATCCCAGTGCCCAACAAACATGCCCAACTAGAGTCGGAAATAATGGGTCAGGAGGTGGAGCCATTCCAGTGCGGAGTTCATAAAGACGCAGACCATTAAGACGGTTTAATTCTTGATTTTACACCCTCGCCGCTGGGTGTACATATTTCCCTTCTTTGGGTCCAAGAAGTTCCAGAATTCGGTCGTGGCTCATGACCCACGAGGACTGTCAATTTCTGGGCTTTACGCCCCTCGTCCGTTGTTCGTTGTCCGTTGTCCGTTGTCCGTTGTCCGTTGCCCTTGTCCGTTGCCGCTGTCCGTTGCCGCTGTCCGTTGTCCTCTTATTTTTAATTTCGTCTGAGCGAGTCTTTTTTATGCCGTCGAGGCTCATTAGATTTGCAAAGTGTTTGGCCTTTGCTCCGCCGTCGATGGAGGTCGTTAATGTTATTATGCTGTTGGTCTGGGGCCCCAAGGTTACTGGCCAGAAATGCAATTGGATTAATAAATGCCATTAGGCATTGCAAGTGTTTTATTTTATTCCACTTTTTGGGCTGGATAATTTGTATTTATGCTGCCATTTTATGCCACATTTAAGTCGAGTTATGGGCGAGTACAAAAATACAAGGGGCAAAGGGCATAAAATATGGCATAAGCTGGAAATCAATAAGCCTGCAACAATATTTGCTTTGAAACTGTAGCTTAAAGTCACATGAAAAAAGACAATTGTATAGTAAGCAACTAAATTGGTTAAAAGTTAGCACTGTGCTGAAACGGAATATTAGGGAAAACTCATATTTTTCATATCCCACCAAAAAAAGGAAGTTAAGGATATGGAAAGGAAATGGAAACGAGACAAATGTCAACAATCGCCGGGTTATTTTGTCAGTTCACGGGGTGACTTTGTGGGTGTGTAGCCGACACTTGGCAAACACATTTTCCAACAGCAATTAGACCAGCGCGTTTTTTATTTTAATATGAATGAAGGGAAATTAAAAGGCAACTGTTGACAAAGGCCAGAGAGTCACATGTGGTGGCCACGGCCAGTAACTCCGCCATCCAGCTTGACGGTCATCATCGTCATCAAAAGCAGACGCACGTGTCTGGGCGGTCAACTTAGTCCAGCGGCAAATGCTTCTGACACCTTTCGCCCGATGTGAAAGCCGGGTGTGAAAAAGGCCGAGTAAAAGGTCACAAAGCTGGACAATTGCAGGGCGAGCTCTGTGGTCGGGGTCACTCGGACCCCAAATAACCTTTGCCCGACAGCAGCCACGCCCCGAGTTCACAATAATCAAAAATCTATGCCCACTTGCTAATGAAGGATTCCAAGGGGAGCTCAGTGAACTTGAAACTTGAGCAGCTCCCGAGTAGCGCAGCTCAATAACCAGCTCTCAGTTTGGCAGGTGATTTGGCCAAGAAACTGGCCAAGAACTGGCTACACTTCATCACAAGAACAACCCGTTGATTTTCCGTTTATTTAGCCCGGCTAAGCTAATTACATGTTAATCAACACCTACTACACACACTTAATGCATTTAAACACACATCAGACAACAAATCTGGCATTTCCCCAAGGATTACGTCTGCTGAAAATCCCAGGCGACAGAAATTCCGCCGACGCCCAAGTAAATTGAATTCTTTTTCGGCAAACTAAACGAATTAAACGTGTTCATATCACATATACACCCACATATACAGACCGTCAGCGACCACGCCCACAGGAGGTGGAAAAAATAATTAAATGATAAACTAATCTACACCCAAGCCTTTAATAATCAGGCGCCAAAGCGGAGGAAACGAGAGGCCAGAAACTGATAAAGTTTGCGAGTTCCTTTTGGGGAAGATGTGGGGAAAATTGGTCGGAAAAATGGCTGGCACACTACTATATATACGTACATATAGCCGAACGGGTGTCCTTGCTGCTTCGCCGGCTGGGCAAATAATTATTATTTTTCGAAACTATAAATCTGCTTACGAAATATTTTCGTGCATTTTTCTCCCAGCCACCGACAGCGCAGGGGGTTAAACGAGGGGCTGCAAGGGGTTAAGGGCGAACAACACCAGACT